TAGTACCAGCTACTTCTCTTAATAGCTTTAATCTCTGAGAATCTGGTGCTGTCGCCATCTGGTTGATCTAAAAATTTCAGAAAAATAATCATTTTATGGCTGTAGCGTCTGTTTAAGAACGAGAACACACTGAAAAGTTTTCAACACACATGCAGGTTGGGTAGCCCTTATACAAAATGATTGGGAACCAGAAGTGTTACAGATTTTAGATTTTTTCAGGTTTTGAAATATTTGCATTTATACTTACCAGTTGAGCAACCCAAATGCAAAAGTTTGAAATCCAAAATGCTCCAACAAGCATTTCTTTTGAATGTCTTGTCAATACTCAAAAGGTTTCAGATTGTAGAACATTTTGTATTTCGGACTTTTGAATTTGGGACATGCCAACTTTTAAGTAGGTTATGATTTGGCCAATGTCATTAGTGTAGAACATATGCCTACATATCTATGTCTCTTTTACTTAAATTTACCAAATACACTCCAAATACAACTGTTATGTCCATAACTCTCCTTTATAATTAGGCCTAACAAGTGAAGGAGTATCTCGCACAATCATCTTTTTCTTAGTCAGTATGATGAGGTATAAAAGATGAGCTCCATTCTCAAAGAACAAAATATTTTTATAAGGGGAAATCATCACTGACTATATATATTTTTTAAAGCTATATATTAAAAGTACAATTCCCCCTCAGTTTCCAAGGAATATTGGTTCTAGGACCCCCTGCAGATACCAAAATCCAAGGATGCCCAAGTCACTGATATAAAGGGCATATTTGCACATAACCTATGCACATCCTTCTGTATACTTTAATTTCTACTTACAATGCTTAATACAATGTAAATGCTATGTAAATAGTTATACCGTATTTTTAAAGTTGTATTTCTTATTGTACTATTATTTTAAATATTTTTGATCCATGGTTGGTTGAATTTGCAGATGTGGAACCCACAGATACAGAGCTAACTGTATGACAAAATTGTGTGTTTTAAATATAGAGAGAATGGTAACAACTTAACTGCCATGCAACTTAATATATAACAAGTATCCCTAAACGTCAACAATGATATCACTGCCACTGCATTAAAAAATTGAAATGAAAGTTACTCTAAGCTAAGAAAATATGGTCTATCAAAAGTATCTATATCTAAAAATCATCCTTCAGATCTTCATTATTGAGAGCTCCAATTATATATGTCCATTCATGCAATTTACTCACTTAAAAATTATTTATCAGGCCAGCTGCAGTGGTTCACGCCTGTAATCCCAGCACTTTGGGAGGCCGAGGTGGGCAGGAGTTCAAGACCAGCATGACCAACATGGTAAAACCCTGTCTCTACTAAAAATACAAAAATTAACTGGGTGTGGTGGCGCAGGTCTGTAATCCCAGCTACTCAGGAGGCTGAGGAGAATCACTTGAACCCTGGAGGCAGGACTTGCAGTGAGCCAAGACTGTACCACTGCACTCTAGCCTGTGTGACAGAGCAAGATTCTGTCTAAAAAAAAAAAAAAAAATTTATCTTATTTTTTTCTTTCTTTTTTAAGACGAGGTTTCACCATGTTGATCAGGCTGGTCTTGAACTCCAGACCTCAGGTAATCCTCCCGCCTTGGCCTCCATAGTGCTTGGATTAGAGGCGTGAGCCACCACGCCTGGCAAAAACATATTTATCAGATGGCTACAACATGTGCCACTGCTGGGCACTAGAAAAGAGAAAACAAAGCAGAAAAGGTCCTGACCTCGTGGACCTTACATTCTTTTGGAAAAAGACAGAAAATAGGTATTATAACAGTGTAATTTAAGTGTTATGAGGAAAAATAAAAGAGATTAAGGAAATAAAGCACATAGGGTTGCGGGGAAGGCAATGCTTTTAGATAAGGCAATCAAGGATGTCATACAGGCAGAAACTGATATGAAGTAAAAGGGCCTAGGCTGAGAGCACACAGATCTCAGTAAAGTGCTCTTTCAAATCAGCCTCCATTTAAAAAAAATCTCTCTCACAAACAGTAAAATTGGGGGGAAAAAAAAAACAACTTGCTCTGGTACATTTTCTAAAACTGAAACTCCATATTCTTCCTAATCACTTCTTCTGAATGCTAACTTTTCCATACATATCTAGGGAAAAAAAGCCTATAGTACAAAATAAGTGAACATTCTTCAAGAATTTTCCCTAGTCCAAAAAAAAGTGGAAATATTTAAGAAAAGAGAACAATCAGTTATATAGTTTGGCTGCTTAAAAAAAAAAAAAAAAAACAACCTATAATCCCTATTAAGGAAAATAACATGTAGCATAATGGCAGATTTCTGGTAATGTTAGTTTTTCAGTATTTTAATTCTGTGATAAATAAATAATGCAAAAAACTAATTTTATAAAGTAATTTTTTCAAATGTGATTTTTATAGAATTTCTACAATATTCTTAATTATTGCAACTTTCATAAGCCAACATCTTCCCCTACTTTCACCTCAGTAATACCAGTCACTAGAAAAACAAGATCCGCCTAACCTGCTGAAATATTTCCATCTCAACATGCAATGGATCTATTTGGTACTTTTATGGCCATGTAAAAGATATGGCCATTTTTCCTTCAGCTTAACCACTCAAATCAATAAATCAAATTCATCACTCAAGAATTACTCAAAAAACAAATTCTATTAAAAAAGGACATACAATTGTTTTACCTTTCCTTGTTTAACAATATAGTAAGGATTGCTTCGGGAAAAACCAGCACTTTCAAGAAGGTTCATCACATCATTTTTCCTGTTGACAATGAAATTACTTTCAGATAAATAATTTTAAAGTACCATTAGGCAATAAGTAGACTAGCCCCTGGGTTAGTAGCATTAGGGAGTGAAGATCAGTAATTAAACCATCTGTATTGTTCTCAGAACTTTCTGATTCTTATGTTTATCCACAATATATTGATTTGTTGAAGATTAAGCAAATATTTCTCATATGAGAGACAGGTAAAAGAATACTTTTTTTTTCCTTACTTGTTTGTAAGGAAATTATATTTTCCTTACTTGTTTGTAAGGAAATTACAAACATAAAGAAAAATGCGGGCCAGGTGCAGTGGCTCAGGCCTGTAATCCCAGCACTTTGAGAGGCCAAGGTAGGTAGATCAAGAGTTCAAGACCAGCCTGGCCTACATGGTGAAACCACATCTCTACTATAAATACACAAATTAGCCAGGTGTGGTGATGGATGTCTGTAATCCCAGCTACTGGGGAGCCTGAGGCAGGGAATCACTTGAATCTGGGAAGCAGAGGCTGAAGTGAGCCAAGATCGCGCCACTGCACTCCAGCCTGGGTGACAAAGCAAGACTGCATCTCAGGGGAAAAGAAAAATACTAGCTAAGCATGGTGGCTCATGTCTGTAATCCCAACCCTTTAAAAGCCAGAGGTGGATTGTTTGAGGCCAGGAGTTTAAGACCTACCTGGCCAATATAGCAAACATCCCATCTCTATTTAAGTATATATTCAATTTTTTAAAAAAAGAAAAGAAAAATGCTTACGTGACCATCTTCTTGTCTAAGAAATACTGATCTTTTTTGGCACCAATAACTCTTCGAAGTGAAACTTCCTCTTTATCAATCTAAGAAAAAGTGTAAAAGCTCTAAGTTAATTTAATAGTAAAGAAGAAAACTTCTTAAATATAGTCATTTTAAAAAGTCCCTGACCATAATTATTTATTTTAAAATTTCAGTTACCTCACTAAAGATAATACTACGAATACTCAATACTCTTAACCAAGACACTTCTTCACAACAGCTTGTATATTCGCATTTGTTAACACAGCGTTCATTGTCATTTTCAGATATAATCAGTCTGCAAACTGTGTAATTACTATAGCATAAATGATAAAAGCTTAAAAAGTTTCAAAGTATAAAGAAAATTAGCTACACCAATTAAATTCTCAACATTACTTAAAAAAAAAAACAAGTTACTTACTGGTAACCGGTTGTCTGAATTATCAAAAATAATCTCCACAAAAGCAGAAATAACACGAGGACCAGTACCTTCCTAAAAATGAAAAAAGTGAGAAATCTGCCATTTAATATATTCAAATTCTTTAAACACTTCTTAAAGTCTAAAGCATGATAACAAGTCTGATTCAATTGAGAAAAATTTCTACTAGATTCATATATATATATATATATATATATATATACACACACACACACTCACTAATCTAATGTCTCTGCTGTTTTGGCAAGAGGGATACATACTTTGGAGGTGTCTCCAGAGGGACAGTATATATCCCTCTTGCCAAAACAGCAGAGGCATTAGATTAGAATAACAAATCTCAACCAAGCTTTTGATTCTGAACAAAAAATAAGAACTATGCAAGACATGTCAAAATTAGATACCCTTAAATTTGATTCTACAGACCACTTTATTGGACTGCAAGACTGGGACCATTTAATTCTACCAATTTGCTAATATACCATGAGGCTCTTCTCTTACAGACTGATCTCAATGCTGGAAAGAAACCCTAATAAATCATGGGATAATTATCAAAAGCCGGTTTTTAAAAAATATTTGAGACATTCTATAGTTCTAAACCTATTATGGAAATATACACATTTAACATGTGTCACATTTAAACCAATCTATGACACAAAAACTATGGTATCAAGTACAGATACCTTCCAGATTCTAGAAACCGTTACTATGTAGTAGCTAAATACAATGAAGAACTATACCAAAGAGGTTATTATTTTAATGCCAATCTGAAAAATCTAAAAAGAATTTTTCTATAGGAAATCAATTCTGACTACGGGCTACAAATTCAAACTAAACAAGGTGGGCGGGGGGGAACAACAGCTAAACAAAATAATTCCTATGTGTGAGAAACATTGTTAAGAAATATTGAGAAATTTCTAGTCTTTAATAAGCAATATTCAAACCAGAAGTGTGATTAATTATATCATTTTATTGTAGTCTTTTATGATTTTCTATCCTAAAATTACTTTAGTCCATTATTCATATTATTATTTTCCACATCACATTGGTAATATGCTAGTGTCCTAACAAGGTTTCAGGAAGGCATGACTAACATGAACATGAAAACCCAATCATCATGCTTATGAATTACAAAAGGAACCATTTAATAAAATATTCTAACAACTCACATTACCGTAAATATACTGGTGGTCCCTGACTTACAATAGTTCAACTTAAGAACGGTAGGAAAGCATCTAGTCAGTAGAAATTATAAATCGAGTACCCATAAAATCACTGTTTTTTTACTTTCGGCACAGGATTCAATAAATTATATGAGAGCCGGGTGCGGTGGCTCACGCCTGTAATCCCAGTACTTTGGGAGGCCGAGGAAGGCGGATCATGAGGTCAAGAGATTGAGACCATCCTGGCCAACATGGTGAAACCCCATCTCTACTAAAAATACAAAAATTAGCTGGGTGTGGTGGCACGTGCCTGTGGTCCCAGCTACTCGGGAGGCTGATGTGAAAAAATAGCTTGAACCGAGGAGGCGGAGGTTGTAGTGAGCCGAGACTGCACCACGGCACTCCTGCATGGCAACAGAGCAAGACTCCATCTCAAAAATAAATAAATAAAAATAAATTATATGAGAGATTCAACACTTCATTATAAAACAGACTTTGTGTTAGATCATTTTGCTCAACTCTCAACTGTAGGCTAATGTGCATTTTGACTTATGGTATTTTCAGTTTATGATGGGTTTATCAGGACACAAACCCACTGTAAGCTGCAGAACATCTCTACTGTTTTTCACAATAGAAAATGATGTTTACAAATATGGCTAAAACAACTTGTATATTGTTTAGTTTGCAATGGTTGTTTCTCTATGCTCCCAATTAACTTCTGGTTCTGCATCTTAAAGTTCCTAATCCCTAATCTCAAACTCTTCTTTCCCCTCAGCAAACCTGCTTAAGCCTTGCAGATCACATCCTTAAAGAAATTTAGATGGAGGACATATCCATCTATAGGCAAATCCTGTAATTTTCTCCTAACTGCTATAAAAATTGAGCTTTTATTTGACATTAACATGTTAGGCTAAACTTCACAGCAGAGTAATAAACTTATGAGATAGATTGTGTCTTGTTCACAAAAAATCTGAAACCTGAACAAATGTTTTTTTAACTAGCATGGAAAATTTATTTTTAAAATACATATAATATCAACAACATCTTAAAGCAGTCTCACTCACATGCAATAAAGCCAACCGCTGTTCTGGACGAAGATGACTAAATTCATCACTGAGAACAAACTGAATTGCTGGAAATACAAAAACAACCATTAATATACCCTAAAAAAAAGGGTTTATGACTTATGTATAACTTCCCATACCTCAATAGAACATTGTGTGTCAGGTAATAGACAATGCAAATAAATTATCTCTTCCAAATGGACAAAAGGAAATGAAGAAAATATGCCTGCACATCAGCCTAATCAGGTAGGAAATGATATAAGAAAAATACTGAAAAGTTTTCATTCAAACATTTAAAGTAAGAGAATCAAGAGAAAACACCACGATACATGAAAACAGACAAGCAAAACTAAGGTACACCTCTGGCTCAAAGTGTACACTGATTAGGTTAACATGGTATTTGCTTTTTACCCCACTAGACATAAATGGTATGAGTTAAAATCCTTTTTAACAAAATAGGATGTATTTTGAGAATATGCTTAAGTGGATACTTTACCAAAAGAAATAAAACTAAGGAAATACAGGGAAATGTTAGAAATGCCCAACTTCTACTGTATTTCTTATACTATACTTAGCTTCTTTAAGAAGGGGCCATTCCTACTTTCATAGACAGTACCTCCTAATTGGACCACCCTGCCCAGGAAGTGGAACTCTTTACTCAGCTGTTCCGGTCCCAGTCCACCCAAGAGACCTGTAACACTGAGTCAGGGGAAGGGGGAGGGGGCATGTACCCACATCAGCAAGCATATGCATAAGCAAGCATTAATGTGTGTGTTGTGGACATGGGTGGAGTGGGGAGACTTCACACTGCCCTCATCCCCTGGAGATTCTGAAATACTTCCACTTCAGTCCACTGTCTCATCACTGCCAAATTACAGGACATACGGGTAACAGAGTGCCTTTCAGATTTGTGTGCACAGAAGGGATAGAACCTTTACTCTTATTAAGTCAGTCCACTAAATAAATACCCCTTTCCGTCAAGCATTACCCAACTAAAAATTTCAAAATTTTCAACCTACTCCTTAACAGTCTAATTTCGTTAAACTGTTTTTCTCCTCAAAGGATTTGTTAACAGATGACTGGTTTAGAAAACATTTTTTAAAAGGTGAAATAAGATCAACTATTTTCCAAAACACTAATATCAACTATTCTACTGCATTTACATACATTTTAATATATGCATTTATAACATTTATATATCACATTCAAGTTTAAAAAGCATTTTCATACATACTATTGCATTCCATTCTCACAAACCATCTAAGGTAGACAGGGCAAACATCCAACATCTCCGTTTTTAAAGTGAAAAGAACAATTTGAGAGGCTACATGTAGTCTCACATAGCTAATTAGCCACTGGGTACAGAGTAGAATTCAGATCTGTACACTATAAACCCTCTACACTAAACTGCAATCGTAAAGTATTTCTTGGGTTTCGTGCAGACATAACCTCAGAATATCAATGATTTTAATACACTACCTTAAGATACCCAGGTCTTAATATATTTATAATTCAAAAAATACCTACCATAAAAAAAGTTACTTTTCCCAGATCCATTTCTGCCCACTGTAAAATTTCAAAAAGGACAAGTTATTTTACATAAAAACCAATAAAATTAAAACTGTTTACCTTTTTTTAAAAACACTCAAAATTTTATCTTCCTGTGAACGGAGACTAAAAAACAACCAAAAAAACCCTAAAATTTTTAAAATCCAATTTTAAAATACATCTTAACAGCTGAAATTAAACACAACAGTGAACAAAAGAAACCAATAAAGCTATAATCACCAAATGAATGCAAATTTTGTACAGACTGAATAGTTTTTTTTTTTTCTTCTTCTTCTTTTTAAAGATGGGGGTTTCACCATGATGGCCAGGCTGGTCTTGAACTCCTCACCTCAGGTGATCCACCCACCTCAGCCTCCCAAAGTGCTAGGATTACAGGCGTGAGCCACCGCACCCAGCCTGAATAGTTTTTTCTTTAAGGATATTTCACAGTTGATCCTTTTACTCTTACCCAACAGTTTTAAATGAATAGAAATAACTAAACATACTACCTGACTCTTATAATTTATCATATTACAAAGGATTTATAATTTTAACTATACATGATATGTTTAACAATTTAAAGATTCACATATTGCAAATATTCTAAAATAATCATTTTAAATCCTTAAAGAGTTCTCATGTTTACAATCAACCCAATATTATCATGTGTAGTCTCACAGAACCACAAAAGTATAGGCCATATTAAGGCACTTTTTTACTAATAAAATTCAAATACAAGCAATTCTATACATAAAAGTATATCAAATCCTTTTGATTTTAAATAAGTGTATTTGTTTAGTGAAATTTTCAGTGTTAAAACTCATAAATAACTATGTCACTCTTCTCAATCTTGAACCAGAAATACCCTGAGCAAATCAACCTCAAAGTTATCACCTTTAATGGAAAGTGAATCCCAAAAAGACCATTCATGTCATGCCAGAAAGGAAGTACTTTTTAAAAAAAGGCATATGACAGACACAGGAGCCAGCTTGAAGGGGGGCTTTCAGTAATTAAATCTAGGGATAATCTGAGCACCAATATAACTAAATAAATTATACATTATTGGTGGGGGAATAATCCATGCATTCATACCAATAATAAAAAGATAAATAAGTAGGTAAGGAAGGAGGAGAATTACCAAATGCCAAGTGGTAAATGTCAAAGTAATGCTGGAAATAAAAAATCATCATTTTGTGACCATCAGAATAAAGACAAAGGTCATCAACAGCTGCTAAATCCAGGCAGAAAGTTTGATAAGCACAAGATTCACAGTCCAAAAGCATCTGTCTATATTTACTATTAGTTTCAAGGGGAAAAAATACCTACACAATGGAAACAGCAGACCTGGACTGGGTGATCAAAAGTAGTATCATCAATAAGACGTTGACAGACCTCACGTGCCTTAAGATATGACAACCTGAGGACATACCATTTATGTCTTAATTCTCAAAAATAACAGTTATAAAAGACAAAGGAAGGCCGAGGAAATGATCCAGATTAGAGACTAAAAAAGCATGACAACTATGCAATACCTGATCCTAAATTAGATCCTGTACTGGAGGGGGAAAAATGCTATGAAGAACCTATCTGTCTATAACTGGACAGATTATTATGCATTAAATTTACATAACTTGTAAATTGTACTGTGATTATGAAAGAGATTATCCCTCCTCTTACAAAGCACACATTAAAGTCTGAGCTAAAGGACCATGGTGTACGTAACTCATCTCAAGGAAAAAACTGTGTCCATAAAGTAGAAATGACAAAGCAAGTGGGGAAAATGTTAATAGCTGAATCTAGGTAGAGAGTTTATGGGTATTCTCTGTACAGCTCTTATTGGGGCAATTTTTCTGTAAATTTGAAACTATTTCTAAATAAACATTTAAGATGACAATTTGTCGTTAAATGAATAAATATTTCAAACCATAATCCATCCATGAACGAATAACTGAAATTTTAGGGATTTCCTTGTAAGAATTACTCCTACCTACAGAGTGGAACACTACATAGCAATTTTAAAGGATGCTGAATAATTAAAAAGGAAAGATATTCAAGATTTATCCTGAAGGACAGTAACAGATTACCAACAAGTTATAGGATAAGCCCATTTTTTTAAAAAAAGGCTTACTTTTACAAGTATACAAAGACTAAAAAGGGACTCAGGTAAACACAGCTTATATGTGGCTCCAAATTCACCTTTCTCAACCCAGGCCTTGGATGCCAATCAATGGAGAGGCTCAGTCTCCTAATACCTCTAGTAGTTTCAAGCTACCTTAGGTATATTCAGGTTCTCCTGAATAGTGAAGACCCAAAGGAGGTTCTAACTCCCTGACTACTTCCAGGTGTGAGTTCCTAGAGCACCACA